TATACCATTATTGACGAACTAACGAAATATATTATAAAATCAGTTATTATGAAAAATTATTCAACTAGGACTGGGTTAAGATATCAGCCTATGAAATCATTAATTATCTGTTTGGACTATGTAGGTAGGTGCAGATTGAATGGTTGGGATCTGCATGATAACCACCATTCGTGGATGGAGAAGTAAGGTGACATTGGCTTGAAATCATTCACAATGATTCAGATGTATCTACTCTTTATCTTCCTCTCGATGTTGACTCCTAGTTTTGTTTCATACAAACCCTTTCACTGTCTTTTTAAATCATGTTCCCAAAATTAGTTTTTTTTCTCATTACTGCTACATAATTTATATCTCTTCTGTTATTTTCATCTTTCTGTGCTAATCGGATAAGGAAGCTTGACCCAGGCTGTATGTTGCTGATGGGTATCTGAATTGTTTTGTAGGTAATAAATAAACACAAAACATCTAATCAAGCTTCATTTCTGTCTGTTTTACGGAAAACTTCTCAAGTTCAGTGAGTTCATTTTTACTGAAGCTGCTAAATAGCTTTTTAACGACTTTTAATGTTTATCTTAATGATTTAATTCAATGGATCAAAAGAACAGTCAATAATTTTCAAGTAAACTTGTATACGATTGAAAACTATCCCTTCTGTTAATTATAAACACCTTATCATTTTGAATGACAGCTTGTTCATCATTGTCAAATAATACCATTAACAAGTTCTATATATTTACTAAATTTTTGAGTCATTGAGGTATTTCAAAAGGTTGATAGTTTACGTAATGACTTGAAACAAAACTGATTTGTTAAATTAATGACTTAAACTAAGTACTGATCATCAATACTAGTACCCTATTGACTACAATTGGGGAATAACTGCTATCTGTTATTTACAGAAAATTAAAGAAACTGTTTTGTTGATGCAGTGAAGAAAATAAGACTAACTGAAAACGGACTTATTCACCAACTGCTAATTAGATTATATTTACAACAATCATAATACATTACACATAATCTTAAATGATTGGTCAATCAACAAGTTTGAATGAATTGAGCTAGCAGCTATTCAGTAACTTCATGTATCTGTATATAGTTTGTCAAATCAGTAAACTGAATGGGAAATTCAATTCATCACATAATGTACAAACTATTAATTTCCAGAGCTAACCCGTACGTATTCCAAATGTCACGATTGAACCAGAACTGAAGATAAAGAGCAAAGTGAATTCACTCGAATGTTTTGTATATTGAAGTTGAAATTACGTGCTTGACTATGAAGAAAACAATTATTATTCTATACAGATACCATAGTTACACACTCTTTCCCCTTCAGTAATTTAGATTTTAAGTACATGCACTTTATTTATATCCCATGAAACATAACCTTAGATACTCAATCTTTTCTCTAAAAGCTTAACCATAATCAAGAATAATGTGTTGACTGCTAAAAGTCTAATTTCAACCTTATAAAGTTTTGAGGAAACAGATAATTTATATCCGTCCGGGTGAATCTACATGTCGTTGTTTTCTCGATTTACAAACGGGATCAATTGTAGGAAACTTCAATAGATCTATTAAGTAGATAAGATCTGTTTACACTTTTTAATATTATTGTTTTCTTTCCCATATGCCATTCACTGACAAAGGTTCCTTTCTGATTGACTAAGAACTGGCTAAACATTTATCATACTTGCTTTAACCTCATCCCTATGGTGGTAAAATTAAGCTTTAGGAACGAATCAGTCAGAATCAAGAATCAAGTATACGACTTCTAGAATTCTAAGCGAAATTCAAATGTTACTTACTACGAGTAATAGAAGAAATACTTTTGTTTGATGTTCAAAACATTTAAAGTGATAGAAAAATATCACTTGTTGTCACCATAGAACTAAAAGGATAATACGATGGTAACAAATGTTCAATTTTGTTTCTGGCATGTTGACAACATCTTTAAATCCTAACCGTAAACCTGTCACTCTGGGACAAACATTCATCTGGTTTGATTATATTTGATGTAAGAATCAGCTAGCGCCTCTTGCATTTTCGCATGCAATTCATTCATACACTTTTGTATTGTAACTAGTGTCAACGCGTAATGAAAACTTTAATCTTAATCAAGAATATCATGGAGACTCTTCAAAATCAATTTTTTCATCCTTATAAGATTTCAAGAAAGTGGATGATCTCTATCCACAGAGGATGCATTTCTGTGTGTAGATGTCTTCCATTTACAGACAATACAGTAGAAAATTTACAACAAACCCATTAAATATGTAAAATCTATTTATTTTGTAATATTATTTTATTGGCGAGACTATAATTTTGGCGCGAAATTCATTTAACCACTTGGTTTAATAGCGTCTTGGCATTTTAGTTGATATTAGTTCGTGATGAAAACCTCAAATCTAGTTCTTAACCCTAACCATCAACTATAAATTATAATCCTTATTCTTTAAACTGTTTTATAATATAGAAATTGATTTGATTGGTTATAGATATTCCTTTCTACTTTGATTGGTTAAGTTTTGTTCTTTGTAAATGCATTGATAATATTATGATAAGCAAGTTATAGATGTAACATGTTATATTAGATTATTATTTTACTAATGGAAATCATCAGTCAATTAAAACTAGATTACCATGGAATATCTGGAAGGATTGAATGGCCATTTCATCCTATTCTTAGATTACTTACAAAATATGAAATAGGAAAAAGTTCGGTGAGACTCTGATTTATGGACGACCTTTGAACGAATCTTAAATAACCCTGAGAAATATTAGCCAATCAGTAAACAGTCAGTATAGAGTAAAAATATATGGTACAAAACCAAGGAAATAAAGTGGATACACTTCTTATACGTGGTTCAAAAACTTGTCAAGATTAGAAAGAGGTTCAGAGGTTCTAAAATCATAATGCATGCAGTATAGGAAATCATCCAAACGGCTACAGAATAGTCGACCTCTGGAGCCATGACAAAGTGTCAAAAACTCTTTCAGCCTCGACCACATAGCTTCAATATTGTTTATGTGCACTCCGGTTGTTGAGTGCACAAAATGGTACTTGTGGATAACGACATGATACATATAACCAAGCCTATGTAGGAGTCTGTACGTTCTTCAGTAATCCGTATATATTGTAGTACTTGGCTGCAGCCAGTGTTACTGGTGCTTTTATTATCCAGTTCTCAATAATTGTCATAATTTTCCATGGTTAGGAATTATGTCAGAAATTTATTTAGCCAGATGGATGAAAGGCATCCGCGTTAAAATCCGAGATCTATTATCTTATATCTGATTGATTCCTCCACAAATTATAGTCCCGCCGTTTTATTTGTTATAGCAGCTCAATTATCACGTTTTGTACAAAATTCCCTGTGAAGCGATCGCACGTTAGCATTAAGCAGTGACGTTGGCACCGTAACCTTGATGTCTCTAAAACACCTCTGATTGGCTCGTTCATAAGTTAGAGTCTCGCTAAAAGTTCAACTAAACAATTTCATATTTCACTTTTATTTTCCTCGTTCAATAATTAAGCAGCAAAATTTGAAAATAATTAAAAATCATGATAATGAGCAAAACATCAGCAAAACTTTGTTTAAAAAGCATAAACATACATAATATTTAAACAAGTTGAAAATTATGAAATTATTTGTTCTTAATTGAAGTTTATATCGGAGGGGGTTTTGTGGAGATTGTAGTAACTTCAACAGTTGAGATCATGAGTCAATTGAAGTTAGACCACCATGGAAAATCTGGAAGCAGTGGACGGCCATTTCGTCCTATTGTGGGACTCCTCAGCAATGCGCATCCAGTGCCCCCAGGTTTTCCATGGTGGTCTAGCTTCAATGGACTCATGATATCAACTGTTGAAATTTATGTTTTTTTTTCTTGAGAAAAAAAGTTTTCCCCTGGATACTATCAACGAAAAAAATAAGATCTTATCTAGATGAAAAGAAAAATGAATAAATTTGCAAACGCGTAAATAATCATAAAAATGTCAGAAACAAAATGAACAAAATAGTTGAAATGCACATGATTTCATTTGTAAAAGTACATTGAAACAAAAGGAAAATGAACAATTGTATGTATGGATATGCATGAGTACGTATGTGCATGTGGGTTCGTGCAAGAGGAGGTTAATTAAACTTGTGAATAATAAAATGAAAGAATTCGATAGCATAGTTTACTAAATGTTTTGCACATAAGAAGGGTAAAGGATTAAAGGACATAGAGATTTATCATTCAATAAAGAATAGAATTTTATGTAAGTGTGAAGAAGTCAGAAATGATAAACCTAAATATTTTTATGCTTCATAATAGCAAAATAAAGGGAGCAATTATCATTAGTAATATTATTACATCAATCAATATTGTATAATGAAGCGTTTATTAATTCTTTAATAAAAGTCATGTCCGCCATAGAGATTTCAATATAAATAAGCATAGAAAAGAAATGATCACGTTTACACTTTTCATGTATGAAAAATATACATATATATATATAATGTATATACATCATAACCATGTTGTAATCATTGAAATAACTCAAAATCTTAATATAAATCTGGACATTTACTCCAATCTCTTTTCCAATAATCACCGGTCATTCGCCATTCTTCTTGTTTAGTAAATGGATTCACTGATGGAATAAACCATAATGGACTAATAATTTGATTGTAACTGTTATTAGAACTTATATCCGATGTAGTAGTAGTAGTGGTAGTAGTAGTACAAGAATTACATGAATTCTTATCATTGTCATTGTCATCGGCTAATGTAGAACGATGCCCAGTTGAATTTGATGAAAATGCTTTTTTAAATGGATTATTTGTAAAAAATTGTTTAGCTGTATTATTCACTGTAGCGCTATTCATATCTGTAAGATTTAACTGTTTACCAGTCGACTTATGATTAGTTGATATTGGCCAATTGAAATTAGAGATTTTTCGTTGACCATTTAATGATTTACGCTTATAACGTTGTTTCTCTTCTAAACGTAATTTTTCACTAGCTGCTTTGTCTGAAAGAAAAAAATATACATAAAAGAACCAATGGAATTTAAAGGGAAGGACAAGAGAAAATAATGTAGTGTATTTATTTTATTTATTTATATAAACACATAAACATTGATGCAATGAAACACCAAATATATATGTATCTTACTTCGTCATCCGATTTGTGTGAAGGCTGGAATACTGTCCAGGTGCCCAAAGTGAACCAGATGGTTTTATTAGTAGGCCACTTTCTGAGCCTTTAACCTAAATGTCTAATTCATAAGCCGATGGAGCAACTTTAGGAGATGCAGTCTCATGGTCGCGGGTGACCAACAATAGGTTCAAATGTTTTTTTGTTCCTTCAGGACACTGGAGCCCATGTGCACTATTGGTTTGGAATCAGTGTTTTCCAACTCCCCTAGGGAAATCCTCCATATCCACCATCCCGGTTAAAGTGCCGGACATTCGCTTTTCATCCTCTCAATTTAGTAAACAACACACGTGGTGTGGGGTAATGGGTAGAATTTCCCTGGTAATTGCTGTATACGTGTGGCCATGAGAAGGTATTTCGATAGGAAGAGCAACCCCCCCAGCCTCGGGCGTACCAAGCCATTTGGGGCATAGTATGAGATCGAGCCAAGCAAATTCAAGAAAATAATTCTTAGGTTTTTAAATAAGCATAAAAAATGAGTAACTTTTTTCGATAGTGCTCAGACTGTTTAGAAGTGCTAGGAAAAATTCTTTTTGATATTATAGAATTAAATATTAAATGTACCAGTTGCTTGCTTTTTCACGGAGAGATTTTACATCACACATGAATCGACCAGATGTTGCTGAAAATTCACGTTATTTGCAGTAAAACTCGGAGACTAATCATTTTACTAATGATTCATGGGATAATAAGTGAGCTAGTGAAGTAGGAATGTTAAAACGGACAACAGTTTTTACATAGGATGTATTCATATAGATAAGGTGGCAGATATGTTTCTCGCATGGTTTCACCTCAGTAAGCTTTCAGAGAATTCGATGCAGATCTCGTAGATGATGAACATTTTACAGAGCTATTTTTGTGACTCAGACAGATAAATATATTCAAACTCGAACGAGCCTTGTTATACAGAGACATTCCTACAGAATTAAAATGGGAAAAATGGGAAAAACCCTTGTGAAACCAATGCACTTCTTAAAACCCTTAAACTCTAGCAGTTTTTAATTTCACCTATCAGGAATTACTTTAGATCTATACAGACTTACCGATTATTAATTAAAATGTAGCTTCAAAATCACATCGTCATTCTAAGGATCATTTAAGCTTAACTTCACACTACAACCACTGAGAAATAGGAAACACGAGGAGGGTGCTTCGTCCTAGTATAAGATTCCTGGAAATTGTGCGTCCATGACCACACTGGGAATCGAACTAAGAACCTTTAGATTTCGTGGTGAGTTTTTAACCTGAATAAGACCAAGCCGTGATACAAACTATGAAATATAACGATCACTAAAAATCTCAGAGTCCAAGTGAGCGACAGCAACCAGTACACTTTAATTATTTGGGGAGTGAAACAAACATCATCAACGGCATTGGCTAGTGGTGGAGGGATATCGCGAATCGATTGAAGTTACACATGTAAACAATGGGACGTCGTGCTCAGTGATGTAAAGGTTAAGTGCTGATCATGAGATGTGAATGTGCACTATCGAGGAGTGCCATATATAACTTTACCTGGTAAATCTTTAGCCGTCTTATGGTTTGTACTGATGGTGGAATCCAAAGGGCCTAAACACAGAAAATTAAAGTGGATTAGTCTAAGATGTTTCTAGTTTCCATGACTTCTAGTTAACTACGGATGAGTTGAATAGCCAAATATCCTATTGATTTGACTGCTAACAGAGTTCGATAAACAAACAATTTGTTCAGTCTAAGCAACATTAATAATAAGGATCACACACTTTTATATGCGTGTCATGTTCACTAGCAATTATCATTAGTGACTTGATTGGAAATGAATTCACAAATTTCTGCTCCGAATTCATAACAAGTAGTGTCAACAAAGTTAAATATGAGCTAAATGTTTACCAGTGATCTTAAATAGCTATCTGGATAAGATTTAAAAATATTGAGTGCGATATTCACTCAGACTAATGGCCACAATACAAATCGAAGACCAGCTTAATACACATGACATTAGTTACTACTCAGTGGTCAATCAACATACACCTAAATTCTAATGGAGGTCAGTTACTATTTGAAAAGCTCAGCAGTAACAACTATGACTGCGAAAAGGATTAACACGAGATCGGATCCACCAGGGAATATCAGGTCCCTCAAGAAAACAGGTACGCCTTGCTGATAAGTAGTGTCAAACAGTAGGAAACCTAGGTTCAGGGTTTCATGTCGACTACCTCTAAACAATGCATGAAATCAGATGGTTAATGAATATGGTGGATTATAGGTAATCAATACGATAACCTATTTGAGACATAGGCTTGAAAAATTTCAGTCAAAAACATTATGTACAACAGATGGAATGCAGCCAGCAGGGGAATCCAGGATGCGTGTTTTAGCCTACTTGAGACCTATTGAATGGATATATTTGAATCATAGAGTTGATGTTCACTCCAGGACTCGGACCCAGTACACTTCTATTCAAACACCCGCTACACATAATCCCTTTAGCTACTGAGTATGGATAGCCACTCCTTAAATGCAGGCAGCAGCTGCATCCAGCTAACAATTCCCAAATAGGATGAAACGTGCATCCTAGATCCCATTACTAGCCAGATTCCATTTAATCTATTAAAAACTTGGGATATAACGGCTATATCGAGGCAATCAGCACAGGATGCACATATGCCAGCTAAGATTGGTCAAAATTCAGTCAAAAATATCAATATATATATTCCATAATGATAATAAGTGGGAATCAATAACAATCATACTCACCAATAAGACCCATTTCAAATAAACGTATATCTGGACGATATCTGGAATCTGTCGGTGGAAGAAACTGTTCATACATTGAATTTTCTTGACATGGAATTACTTCCCTAATGTTATTTGTACAATTCGACATGATCACGCTTGAATTTTTCTGATTATCAGTTATATTATCATTACTCATTGTCGATTTACAGATTGTTAATTCATTTAAACCCATTGTGTACTGTGTGAAATCATAATAGTCCTTTGAATTAATTGGTTTCGGTGTAGCAATCCATAGACAACGTTGCCCAGTTAGTGGTATTTCGAATCCATAATCCACTGATTCAATACATTCAGAGCTGTTGGTCGATTGTCCATCAGCATCATTATTATCGTTGTTATTACTGTTTTTCTTTGGCTGGTTGTGCGTGTGTGTGATTAGTTCCAAAGATAACCGGGAGCACATCAATATATGTATGAATGATAAGTAAGGAGAATGAAATAAGAACCGACTGATCATTATATACATAATGGTGAGATAGAAAGATTATTATACTGGATAATATAATGTAAATAATAACAGTACAATGTACTGTAACATTCGTATTACGTCATCATGTCTAATAATTGTTTGTATTTCTTCAAGGAACTAATGCTTGGAATTTCATATATATATATATATATATATATATATATATATATATATATATATATATATATATAGAGAGAGAGAGAGAGAGAGAGATAGCAAAATTCGTAGTCATAATGTTTAATTGGGAATTATGTCTACAAAATAAATTACATGAGTAATTGTATATATGAAATCAAATTTGATTATAGAATGAAATGACAATTATGACAGATATTATCATAGTTGATCAATGTCTGTTTGTATCCAGTTGATTGTAATTAAAGTTAAGTAGCTCATTTACAAAATACTGTTTTTATGCAGTCAAGTTTGAACAATAGCTGATTATTGATGTGAGGCCTAGTGATATTACATCTATCTATCGAAAACGAAGTTGGTGTAAAGGAGAGTGGGGTTTGAACCTGTGGTCTATTGTTTCTTTTTTAAACTACCGAATCCTTTAATGAATAATTAAGCAACTGCTCTACATAATAACCACTATTAGTAATCCTTCTTGTACTTAAATTTAGTCGAGAGGTAGCATTGTAACCTTATGAAATGTTGGTTTAAAAGAAAGATGAATAACACAATACATAGGTATATTTTATTTGTGCAAAAATCAACGGAAAGGAAGGTATTCAAACACCTAAAGACATAGGCAATATTGATTTCATTCATTCTTACTCATATCGGTTAAGCAGACAATTATCTTTTATAATTCGAACCCGTAAGTTAGGTTCATCCTTCTATTCTTCTCTAACTCTCTGATTATTATGCAATCTCATTTGATACTTGAAGTTTCGGATCAGCTGATGATCTATTCTTTTCTATCTTTCTATAGACTTATGTATTTATCATACAAATATAAATATGAATGTACAGCTTAAGTAAATGATTCCGTGGAAAAGAAAATTTTCTTCGTTGAATTCTCTTCAAAATCATATTTTCATTAGATTTATAAATAAGTTCAAAAGTGAAACTATACTACTAAGTAGCTGAGTCAATTACAATAAGTAAATTTTAGCATTCTAAGCGAAAATTATATGACATTTACAGTTTTTACAAAGTAGATGAATTATGGCTAGGATTGTGATCCAAGAAGAGAGTTTATTCAGTTGGATTTACCGCGATCCCAGTGTTGATGTTCACAGTAGAACTCGATTAAATCTAGTTATTTTATAAAAGTTATGACCAAACAGCTATATCGAGGCGATCCGCACAGAATGCTCATACACCAATTGAAACCTATTTGAATTCAGTCAAGAATATCAGTAACAAGATAAACCTAAAACTGTAATAATAGTAGCAGTTATTATCATATCACATGAAAAAGCTTTGTCCACAACAAACTGCTATATCGAAATTCAAAACAGTTATAACTGAGGTAACAAAAACTATTTCCTCCCATCTGTTACAATAGTGGAGAGGGATTCCCCATTTATCATCTAGATCTCAAGTGGCAATACCCCTTCGTACATGCCTAACCATTCTGCTATTTCGAAGCATATTACCAATGCTTATCATGTGTAGTTATCATTTTTATGCTAATATGATATGACGGCTTATGCCAACGAGATTTTTTCCAGGCTCTACATTGATCATAACCGACTGATTAAAAGCAAATACGTGATGAGTGCACACTGTCAATGCAGATTGAAAATTAATGATTTCTGTTTCTTATTTCTTTTATTCTAAATAAATCAACTGGTTAGTGATTTATTGAATAATAGGCATTCTGCTTGTATGGATTTGAAACACGAAGAATTACTACAGGTATTTATGAACAGCTATCTAAGCAAGATACTCAATGTACGTTGATCGGATACCATCAGCAACAACCTACTGTGGCAGAGAATAAACGAACTTCCAACTGTAGAGGGAATTAAGAGAAAAACGCCGGAGATGGATAGGTCACAATTTACCGGAATCACCGAATTGCATCACGAGGCAAGCTATAGCTTAGAATCTTGAAGACTAAAGGAAAAGCAGTCCAAAGAGCACATTGCTCCGGGAATCGGAGACATCGAAAAAATGAATAGCAATTGGGAACATTTGGAAAGGAGGGCGCAGGATAGAGTTATTTAAAGATCCCTAGTCGGAGGCCTATGTCCAATGAGGGGTGATAGGTGTAAGTAAGCAAGTGAGACCGTATATAAATGTAAAAATAGGTCACAATTTTCATTCATTTTCTTAGCGAAATATTTTACATCTTATAAATGATTTATTCATTGGCTATTTCAGTAGTATGAAAAACAGTGAGATAATTTTTAGTGTCGCTCCAAATCAATTTTAATCAACTTGGTTACACCGATTTATAGAAACACAACTTCTTAGTTGAAAAAGTATTCTAAAACACATAATTTTTTTCAGATGAAATAGATTGTCTGAAAATCAACACGTAATCTAATCTGCATATCTTAGAAGTCTGTTTTATTTACCTATGCATCAAAGACCAATCACAATCCAATGAGGTTTTATTATAGGATGACTGGAGATGGCCTACTGAAGACCCTGGATCTAGGTTTCATGTTCGTTAGTACTCATTAGTGAATCATGCCTGAAATCTTAAGTGAACTGATTCTTTCTGTAGAATTAAAACTAGGCCTAATTAATAGATATGACACTGGTCACTATTACGACCACTCAGTAATCAATCAATGTAATCTTTTATTATAACATACAAGAAATGAAGTATATGAATATTCTTTTATTGTTATAACTGTCAATGGGTTGATTTCCCAGTTTCTTATTATGATTCTTTTTTTAATAGAGTGTATGATAAATAAACTTTATTTATGCGTAGTTCTTCATCTATCAGTTCATTTAGTGTTAAAAACCGGAGTGTACTGATCATAGCCGCTTTCCGCTTTTAATTATACTAATGTTATGAGTAAGGTGATTAGAAGGGCTCCAATCCTTGAATTTGATATCAAGCGTGGTCAGTGTAAAGTAATTCACACACTTATTTTCAATTTGTCCAAATCGATTAATATATCTTTATATTTAACTGCCGACAAAACAAGGAACTTTGACCCATTAATAAGATATGGAACCGTAACTCTGCAAAGTAAACATGTTTTTTCCGGTTTCTTCACTTTGGAATAATACTAGCGCCATGGTGGTCTTAATTTAAAATTTATATGCAACACATCATTAAGGTAACATGTACATCATTACCTCTTGCGCAACACTGTAAACTAATAAGATTACTAGAGTTGAAATCACTAGTCGATCTAAGCTAGAACACTATTAAAAACCTGGAAGCATTGAATGACCGTTTCATCGTGGTAAGGGACTCTTCAGTAGTGCGCATCCACGATCCCGCACGCGGGATACGGAAGCAGTAAATTAAGACATTTTTCTGAAATTCCTTTTTGAAAAAACACTTAACATGATCATTTCTGGCTGAATACTTTCGAATAATGAATGAGTTATACCAAATGAATTTGTCGATGGATTAATGTGAATAAAACGTTGAACAATCCGATTCGGTTCGAGAAACTGGATGATATTATTTAATTTTACACGAAATAATTGTTTTGAAGCAGATAACATGAAATTGTCAACTACTTAACTGAATTGCATAAAAAAATTGAAATTTACAATGTTTTCACACTGGTTAAGCAACTTGAAAGCTCAACGGAATTCATCTTATGTTGAATACACAGAAGTATGTATGAACACAATAGTTTATGGACAATAATTTTTAATAAATATTCTATTTGAAGTTTTACATCATGAACTGTCATTGATAAAACAATCATTGAGAACCAGTAATCACTGAATGATGATCCTTACCGCTAGTGCCTATCTACAAACCCTTCATGTGGATAAAAGCCATGGCATTCAAGTTTCACTGCGAGCTATAAAACTTCGAATCACTCAGTATGCATCAAATTGTTTACATTTTTAACATCACCCAATTCTCATTACTGCTCAACTATCATCTATTGCGACTGATTAAATTTGTCATACATTCAATATGACTTAATTGCACTGGTCATTACTGCTCATTAGAACTCCGGAGATTACCCTTCGAAATTATTCAGAGCATGATTATAAGTATTGTTATTACACAGTATTATTGTGGAGATAGGTAAATTTGTAATTGTACATGTTAGACTGACTTTGGTGAGGAATTAAAATCCTGGATTTTATTCCTTGTGGTAAAACTTCGAATTCAATAATCTTAGAAAATTCCAGAAATAACAAAACATTCTATTCTCTTTGTATCGATACAAGTCATATATCCCTAGTTAGAGACAGATTAGATCAATACTCGGCGATACTATATCGCCTATTCAAACAGAATTAGAGAAAACGAAATTTGAACATGAAATCTAAATGAGTTTGTAGGTGTCATTACCAAGGTTTGATTTGATAATTTCGAATAAATTGAGCATTGGGTTGATTGTTATAAATAAAAATAATATATTTGTAATATCCCAATGAGTAGAAAATTAGATTTTCTGACGTTTCGTGGCTTAGTGTAAGTCACTTCTTCAGAGAATAAATAACCAAACTAAAATTAATCCAAGTTTAAATAGTACAACGGAACAATGCAAGAATAATATTTGATAATATTTGATGAATCACCTTGACAGAAATGACATGACATCAACTTGTTCAGACCTGTTTTTTGATTGATCAAATATTATTCTTGCATTGTTCCGTTGTACTATTTAAACTTGGATTAATTTTAGTTTGGTTATTTATTCTCTGAAGAAGTGACTTACACTAAGCCACGAAACGTCAGAAAATCTAATTTTCTACTCATTGGGATATTACAAATATATTATTTTTATTTATGAAATCTAAATGATTAATTACTGAATGTCAAAACTATATGCTATATGATAGAGTTAATGATATAGTGAAGCATATTCGTAGCTTAAGATGACAATTTTAGAGGTGTTATATTCATTCAATTAAATAATTTTATAATCATGTTTATGAACTATATTAGGCCACTGTAGGAAGCTCTGCTACTTGATAAAGTTTTCTTAGTTTAAAACAATGAAGTTTGTGCCTGTGATTTCGTTCAGAAGTACGAAGAACATTCCACAACCAAACCATTCAATTCACAGAACAAAACTCCATCAAAATCATCCACTTAAGCTACAAATCTTCTCCACAATCTCACAATGAAACGTATGTTACACCAATTTGATTTTAAAATGATGGATACTCACAATTGATTGATCACTGGGTGGTGATCAATGTCATGTGTGTCAAGTCCTTCTTAGTGCAGATCAAATGCTATCGATCATGTTGCAATGTGGCCACCAGTCTAGGTGACTCGACATTGCGTGCACTATGTTGAGATTAGATGGTGGTTGGAGTTAGTTGACAGGAAACGCTAGACCCAGGTTTCGTGCTACTTGGCACTCGTCAGCAAGGTGTACCTGTAATCTTGAGGGAACTGGTGCTCCCTAACGGACTCGATCCCGTGTCACCCAGCTTCACAGTCAGAGACGTTAACACTGAGCTATCCGAGTCGCGACCAACCTCCTGTAGGACTGAGATGTAATCGCGATTGATTGATCACTGGGTGGCGATCAATGTCATGCGTGTCTAGTCCTTATTAGTGCAGATCGAATGCACGAAACCCGGGTCCAGGGTTTCTTGTCGACTACATCCAACCACCATCTAATCTCAAAATGATGGATAATATTTATAATTCAGCTTAATGGTAAATTTCAATATTCAATAAACAAATTTTTTCAAAACTTATTTCATAATCTACACATTTAAACAAATCCAGGGATAATAATAACAATAAACCTTCTAAACAATAGAGATGAGAAAAAATGGAAACTTTCGATATTGAAAAGAGCAAACACACAATGCACACACGCGCGCGCACACACACACAAACACGATAAAATGAGAAAATCAATGATAAAATCAACAAAAACAAACAATAGAATTTACTTAGTTACACTTATTCAATAAAATCGAAATGATCCAATGTTGCTGTTATGACAGTCTCTATTATTATTATTATTATTTAATTTTGAATGTGCTAACGTTAAACTGATCAGCCCTCTTTTAGTTCATAAATAATTTTAAAAAAAATTTATTTGAAATAAATAAACAAATAAATAAAAATCGTAATGTTTTTGTTTTAATTAAGAGAATTGCAGAGTGGAGCGAATTTTAAAATTCTCACAGAGAGACAAACGAATAGTTAGAGATGAGTTAATCAGAATTATGAATGCATATTAAGAGATAGAAATACATTTATGCGTTGATCAGAATGTTTAAAATGATAACAGGAAATTATTTCTTGGCAAATTGATCCTATTCCTTGAACCTGAAGTCTTGTAACAAATTTTAACCTATTGACGTTATATTTTATCAACATACTGATTTCACAGTGTTACATGGATTTTGAGGTTGAAAGTTTTTCATTTATAAGACTAAAAAGGTTCATTTTTCACTACAGCTCATGTCGGTTTGCGATGAAAATCCTAATTTTAACGTTAACCAAGAATACTGCGAGAACTCTTAAAAGCCTACTTGTGTCCTTTTAAGGGTTGGGGAGACGCATAATGAAAATTCCTATGAGGGAATTTACTTGTCATCGTTTTTGTGATTTTAGTCAGTTTTGTCATATGCAATGTAGAATTTAACACGTGTGTAGACTAAAGTTTCCATGTCACATTAACACAGTGAGATACAATTATCCCAGAGTAGTAGGAAAAATGACAGCATCAATAGTAGTATAAAAGATCACTTGTACTCAAAAAAGGTATAAGGAGATTTTGGGATTCAGGAACTAAGAGAACATAAAGAATGAATGCATTTACGCCTCTAAGGACTGTTCCGAACTATGTCACTCAACGTTTCCGACTACTGACCACAGATATCTCACGAACTCCAATAGTTAGTCTGAAACTACCTACGTGGATCAATCTAACAATGACTTCATGGACTGATGCAGCGTTTTAGTGTTGTCACCCCTAAGTTCCTTTCAATGTATTCCTACAAAAGACAACATCACTCATCTAGGCAAGCGGTGGTTCGGCATACGTAACACACGTTCTAACCACCTTAGCTGATGAAGATTCACTACTTCATTAATCAAATTTCCATCTCTACTTAGTACCCTATATTTAACCTAAGTATTATATTTTCTTACGGTTTACAGACATAGCAACCTGTGGATGACTTTAATAGACTTATTAAATATTCAAAACTTGTTTATAATTTGTAATATTATTAGTTTTTTTCTTCAAAAACTGTTCATTTACAAGACATGTTTTTTGATTGGTCAAGGGTTGGCTGAAAATCTCCGCGGTTAATTTTAAGCTCCTACCTATATTATTATCTTCATATCAAATTTATTTAATTTAACTGATCAGTTGTAAAGTATACAGCGAAAAAGACTGAACAGTACACATTATGAATTAAATAGATCGCGAATGGATTTTAAGGGTAAGATAAATCTAGAAGTTTTCACAGATTCACTTTTTTTCGTCGATTTTTTATTATTTGAAAGGGTTATGGGGATAGCTCCTTAATGGTCATTGATTTACAATGATTTTCGCTGGTTGATGTCAACTCATGTTGATGATTATACAAACAGTCCACTGAAAGCATTTAAAATAATATTTGTGCATTTGAAGATGAATTTTCGACAGAAATCTAATGAAAAACTGTAACCTGTGTAATAGTAGTAGTAGTATACAGAGTTGTGAGAGAAGTAAGATGAAACTTATTCAATGTACGGCGATTTGTATGAAGTCAGAAAAAGTGATCGGTAAAGCCTTAGCTCAGAAAATCATGTCCTTCAAGAAACGTAATGATCCTGTACTTCATTACCCTTGTGGAGTTGTATTATGTGTACTATTAATAAGTTCCAAACAAGGATGAAACAACAGTAAACATCATGAACAAACAACCTTAGAGGAAAGGGGATTACTATCATCTGCTTTACATATGACAATTCCATATAAACAATATCATATAGAACTATGAAATCTGATCATCAGATACAGTTTAATACGCTAGTAAACTTGCCAAAAGCTTAAAAACGACATTCGATGTTGTTACAGAATTAATGGTTCCTTTATTTAGTGTAAATAAAATTGGTCCATTAGACTGAAAATGGCAAAAGGAATAATTGTGTTAAAAAAGAGACTTGGTGAACAATGAATATTCTTATCTGATACAGTTTGACGTTAGACTTTTTCACATTTTGCAAGGTTCCCCAGCCTTGAATTGATTAGAAGACTGAATAAGTATATGGAACTTGTAAGAAAATTTGATAATTGCACAATTATAGCAAACAGAAATGTTAGTTTGTTTTTTATAAAAAATAGTAAACATTATCACTTACATCAATGATTTCCTCCTTTTCATTCCAAACATTCGGTTCGACTGTGAATAAACCACGAGACCAATTACCAAAAATTATTCTCTTTAATACATATGAATTATTATGATGATTAAATATATTTTTACTGATAGTATTAATAGTAGTATTATGAGATGTATTTGAAGCTGAAACTGCCTGCGTTTTATCTAATGTTGATGGAGCATATAATTCACCGACAACACGATTACAACCATGTCCAAACGAATTAGATGGATGAAATTCTAACTGACAATATAATCCTAACGAATGATTAGTGATACGCAATGTGCCAGTCTGTAAGTATCCGAAAGAAAAGAAAAGTCAAAAGAGTGGAACGAAATGAAACAAGATCGTAATGATAGTTATGAAAAATAATAATTTTTAATAGATTACTTAACAAATTCGTCTTTATTAGACAATCATTAAAAACCTGGAAACACTGGAAGGTTGTTTCGTTCTAATGTAAGACTCCTCTGCAGTGAGCACCCACGAGTTTATCAGATGTCGAACAACTATGTGTTCACTAATGACTAATCTCGAGAGGTGATTCCCGGGATTCTTGTGAGAAGTCCTGATCAGTGACGTTCAATTATGTTAGGTATGAGGTAGTTATTCACAAATGACATTGAACGATGTCTGGTGGGGTATCACGAATTGATTGAAATTAGAAGTACAAACCATTGGATGCCAGTGTACTAAATGTATCAAGACGTAATATATGTGGTAATTAGTCGGAAACTTTTCTGAAAAACACTGATGAAGTATATTTAATACGCAGTTAGAATGTGAAAATAACTTTTGTCACAAATCGTCAGCAGATGGAGAACTGTAGAGTATAAAATACGACTGGGTAGTTGTTTCGTCTTACTTTAAGGCTCCTCAATGGTGTCGACCCACATTAGACGAAATAGTTCCAAGAACATTCAATTCTTATGGGTTGAAATTTAATGATTCAAAGTTTTTAACTCAGTCCAATAATCACTGGTAAGCTTCTGCTTGGTATATTACGCGGGCTACTGACTTATTGTGGAAATTTTTTGTAATTAATTTACAATCTATTTAATGTAGGTGTTGAAGTATTGAACTGAACTGAATTATACAAAATCACCAATCTCCTATTTTCTGAGTAGTACAGTTTTTAGCAAGATTTAGTGTATTAATGATTGGTCAATTTAATCAGAAGTAAATAATGTTTATACATATCACTGGGAATAGTTAACAGTTAAGTGAACTATTGTTTATCATAAAATAAAGCAAAATATACATATAGTTGGTTTGTGGAGATTGTTTAATCTTATATTTTAAATCACGAAACCACTAGACAACTATTTCATCATAGGGATAATACATCTCAGTTGTGTTTATCCACGACTTTACAGGGGATTAAACTAAAAACCTTCTGATCTCGCGGCGAACGCTGAGTCGGCGCATATGACGACATAATTTTCGACTTGAATCCGTTTTTTTTTTCATTCAACGCTAGTTAACTATTCAACTAAGTGACATGTAAATTTGAATAAACAGAAATGTGATGAATAAAAAGTAACAAATTAAATCAACTGTTCAATCATCACATGAGAACTGACAGTAAATGAAAATCAGATGTTAATCGAGTTCACTTTTTGAACAGTTACAATTCATAACTCAGTCTGTATGAAATGTTGATAAAAATCAAAGTTCATTAATATTTAATTAAATTGGTAATTACGCAACAGATATACATAGTGGAGGAGGGGGGAAGTTAGCAGCAGTCATTATCTATGGTTACCTAAACAAAATTAGGCGAGACGGAACTCGAACTTGGGACCTTTTGGTTTAATGTCGGCATATTTAACAATCAATAATTAGTTGTTTCACATTTGAAGTGATGACATATGTTTATTTTACTTTCATTCTTGACACAATGACTATCATAGTTACTGATATTATATCATAAAATTAACAGCACTGTGCTAAATAGAAATTACTTTACACATATATAAGCAACAAATTGATCACAACAACAAGTAGACTTACATGTTCTACCCAAATTTTACCAGTCAATATATTATGTATTGTTAAATTGACATTTTGCCATGTATAAGATTCATTAAAATGGTATAATTGTAATGTAACTAATCCTTTCGGTTGAACGTCAATTGATTTACCCCAAAAACGTAATTTAAATTGTAGAGTAGCACGTAGACTATAATTATCTGATTCAACATGAAAAGCTGTGATTGGTGGATGATGAGATACCTTGGGATGTGAATGAAGAGAAACACGGATATAGATAATAACAAGGAAACGATGAGTGAATGTTTAGTAAAAGGGAATCTGTGGTGATAGACTGATTTTATAGTTTACAATGCTAGTTGATTTTAGTTAGAGAACCATTGAAAACCAGGAACTAACAGATAATTGTTTCTTCTTAGTATGGGACTCCTCAGTAGCACTCATTCACGGCTTCATTAGGGATCGAACCCATGAACTTTAGGTCTCACAAAAACAAACAAACAGAATTCTAGTGAGTGGCTCTGACTAGTGAAGTTCAACCATACTGGATGTGAAGCAGTTATCCACCAATATTATTTGAAAGAGGTTGCGCAATAGTACGAGTTAATTGAGGTTAGACATGGAAACCACTAGATACCGACTCAATGGTCTAAAGGTTAAGTCCTCACATGCTCTAACAAAAAAGAAACTTTACAAACACAATGCTGTAATAGTTAGGAATAACTCTATTATAATGGTTGATATATTTTCTTTGTTAATAGTCCTTTGAAAAGAAAACGGTGAAGAGAAGGACACGAGAGACAATTTTCATTGGAATTATACTACGCAATGACAAATGAAATTTGCTGTAATATCGCTATATTTTTTGATGAGAATTCTTCACTGTAATCAAACAATCGATGATGGGTAAGGCAATTATTATAATCATTATTACTATATTCGAAATTAGAGAACTTTGCATAACCATCTTCTGATGGTTTGAGACTGGTAACTTAATAAACACAATGGTAGGCGCACTCTTTATTTTGATCAATTAACTATTCACTAAACATAAATTCTTTTCATATAAATCTATCATTAATTATTAGACTACATTTTTGATAGGCATTTTGTCTTGTCCCAAGGGAAGACGAGTTTGTGATCAATTAAGGAAAGCATAATGTAACTCTGAACCAATTAGATTTTCAAAGGTTTATAGCCTTATCAAGCAAATCATGATATATAGAACGGAGAAGATTCAAAACTCAAGTGGATGCTTTTAATGATGTTGAGTTCTCGGAGCTAAAGGTAGTTTAGTGACATAGCTTTTGTTATGATTTTGCATAACATCGTCAGCGCTTATTTCATGTAAAAGTGAGCTTCTTAGTTAGTTTCTGAAATGTATATCAGTTTGTTTTAAAAAACCAATCCATAACCTGTTATATAATGACTGAATGTTCATTGATCTTCCTACTAATAACAGCACGTTTCCCGAAGTTTACCGAATATTATTGTCACACATCAACCTATAGGTATTCCTGTGTTTTGTACTAAGACCAATCTTAAAAGTAAAACCACTTTTGATACTTCTTATCTTTTGTTTACTGTTCAGGGCTAAATTGTAGGAAATTTCTGAGGCGGATGAAAAGGGAGACTGGGAGATAGTTAGAAATTTAGTGTCAAGCATTCAAATGCCAGATTTATTAAACTTTATAATAAACATCAAAAGAAAATAACACCAAAGTAACAAAAAAACTTAACCAATCAATCAGTCAATCACGGATGAAACATACTTGTTCTGCAACGAATACAAAATTCCTGTAGTGTAATTCGTAAGTTTCACCTAACAATGGATTGAATGGTTTACCAACACGACCAGCATTCGATGACATACTAGATACAGCGAATGCTGATACAAGCTGTAAGAATATTTAACAAAAAAAAGAAATCAGAATTTTTCTAAATAATTCTCAATATATTTTGGAGTCCCTAAAATCACACAACGCGAAGATTCAACATAACCACTACAAATCAGTTGAAATTCATCTCCGTTACACAGGCTAATGGTTATCTGGGCTCAAAAGTTAAGCTGCTTAAAACCGCCGTGTATATTAAAGTTTCATTAATTGTAAAGCCAGAGATTCTAAATTTTAGCATCCTTAATCGTTAGGGGCTGATAAGTGTTTTACAATCGCTTAAACTCGACAGTATACTATACTTTACCATATATACATAGGCGTGATTACGATTGATTGGTCATTGAGTAGTGACTGATGTCATGTGTGTCTAGCACGAAATGTTGATTAAATTCCGTCGACGGGTCACTAGCAGGAGAGATACACTTTTACGAGTTCTGTATTTTGATGTTAAGCGATTGAACGTAGTCCATAGGAAATTCTGAACCCAGGTTTTATGTTAATTTCAGCTTTTCATTAAGACATATCTGTAATCTTGAGGGGATTCATGCACCCTATACGATTTAAAACCTTTTCACTCTTTTTCACCGTCAGATGAGTTACAAGTGAGTTTTTCGTGTCACGAATATTTTCAAACTCTGAAATTGGGTTCGAGTCTCATAGGAAGCATTAGTTCCCTCTAGATTACAGGTATGCCGTGGTGATAAATACCAGTTAGCACGGAACCTGGGTCTAGAGTTTTCCGTCCACTGTCTTTAGTAACCTAACATGTAAGCTGTCTTTTTGTTGAGAATAATTTCCTTTTAACGAATATCATTTATAGAACCGTAAACTGTGAGTCGTAATTCTTATATACCATACAACGGATATGAGTAAATTCAATAATAACTGACGTAAAACTGAGACTAGTTCATACATTTTGCTATGAAAATAATTCACTCACAACTGGATATTTTAACTAATCAAAAGTATCCCCGTTTTCATGTTTTTTTTTTTACTTCAATAGTACTTTAACATACAATACAATAATAGAGATAAATGTTCATTGTGAAGGCTGAAGTGCTTAGTAATGATGACTATTATTAGGACGAAATAAAAATATGAGACGGCGAATTGATTTTTAATTTAGACTTCCTATTCAATTGATACTTTCCTATTAATTCAATATGATTTTAATCAGAGAGGGGTTTTTTGAATATTGTAGTAATTTAATAGTTGAATTCATGAGTCAATTGAAGCTAGACCACCATGGAAAACCTGGAAGCGCTTGATGGCCGTTTCATCCTAATATGGGACTCCTCAGCAGTGTATACCCACGATCGCGCCTTGTGAGATTCGAACCCAGGACCTATCAGAAGCCGTGACCAGTGAAGTTTAACCGGGTGTGTTGTGAAATAGTAACTCATTGAAGACAATGGTGGATTTGTCGCTCAATTTCGTGGATTAGTTGAAGTTAGACATTAACACCACTGGATGCCGCTTCAGTGGTCTAAAGGTTAAACGCTCGCGTGCGAGACTGATAGGTCCCGGGTTCGAGTCCCGTGAGGCAGGATCGTGGATGCACACTGCTGAGGAGTCCCACAGAAGGATGAAGCGGCTGTTCAGTGCTTCCAGGTTTTCCATGGTGATCTAGCTTCAATTGACTCATGAATTCAACTATTAAATCAATATGATTTCTGTTCATTTAAATTTAAGCCAATTTAGTGTAGTTTTTCGTAAGCATAACAATAATTCATTAAATTATCATGATTTTTTAAGAATTTAACATTGGTTCAGTATAATATCCATATGTAACTAATTCTTTGTGATTTTACGTTTAAATGACAACTATTCAGTTTGATAAATTCATGTAACTAATAATCACTGAATTTAATTGTTATATAACTGAATAAACTTGAGTGTAATTCAATTCTCTTGGGGTCCCCCTCCAGTTAATCTGTCGTTTCAAGATTTAATTGAATTCGGGTTTGATGGAATCCTACAGTAACTTTTAATTACCAGAGATTGAGGTTCTTTTAAAACGAATACGAACTAGCTGAGAACTCGACAGAATGATCACTGATACACACAACACTTTAACAAATATCTCTAATACGATAAAACCCTAGAAGACAGTTTAAAAGAAATCTAATGTTCTAGAAGTCAACTTAATAACTAAGACTATCTAATCTGAAACGTTCCTAGCTAAATTTTCCATTGCGAAAGTTGTGTTTCTCAGTAGTCGTGATTACGAGAGAATGGAAAATATCGTAGTTCATTTCAAAGTACCGTCTTATTAGGGAGTGGCATCGACGATCATAACAACGACAATAAGTCTTATACAAAAGCAAAATATTATACCAGACATTGAGTATGTGCCGTTTACGTAGAAAGATATAGAGTTCGTTCAATATTGACAACAATAATAGAATTAAGTTAGTTTTTAATGTTTTGGATTATTCCACTGTCGATATTTTACTCAAATCTGATTAGTTTCTGTTATTACATGTGGGTCCTGTGCGAATTACCTCACTATAGCCATCACGACACAAGTTGACATAGAGTAGATGAGATGTAGCTAGTAGGCGAATCCAAGATGCTCGTGTTACCTTATTTGGGACTTTTTAACTGAATGTACCTACTTCATCCCAATGTTGCCATTCACTACTGTAATCAAACACAGTACCATTCGATTCGAACGCCCAAACGCGTTATACACCCAACTACAGTCCAAATAGTCACTACTTTGTGCTATGGAGGTGAATTTCAATTCATTTGTAACAGTTGCTTGAATCTCCCTGTTGTTGATGTCAAGTATTGCAGAATGTATTGTGTGATGATGGTTTTATCAAAGCAATCTGCACAGCAAGGACATGTAGTAAACCAAGACTGATCAAAATTCAGTCCATAAATTAACAACGAGATTATCCAAACCATTAGAAATTAAATTAGAATTATTACACGTTGCATAAGGTAGTGGTTATCTGGATTCAGTAACCAAGTGGATAACGCATTGAAGTGTCTAAATTGAAAGGTTGCTGAGTTCGAGCATCGATGCATAAAACTACTCCGGGATACCATTACATCCAGCTGATGAATCCCAAATAGAACGAAATATGAGTTTTGGATTCGCCTACTAGTCACATTCTATCCATTCTATGGTAAATAATAAAACTATTCAAATAACTTAATGTCAATCGAGAAAAAAACTGAGCAACTATCATGAATGCCAAGAAAATAAAAGTTCAGAGCTACAAATTAACTTAAAGAAAAATTGTGTTTTTGACATCAGTTATCAACCTAAAAACAATCGAATTCTTATATGAATAAATTTATAAAAGAAAAACAAAGTTTCGATAATAAAAAAAGAAGAACTGAAAAAAAGAAAAGAAAAGGAGAGAAAAGAAAAGAAAACAATTCGAAAGATTCGATAGTGAGATATTCATATGATTGACTGTATAGATTAACAACATTTGAAGAACACAAATTTAATCATTAAATTTATAGTGAAATAGGTTAAACAACGAAAAATGTGTGTGTGTGTGCATGTTAGTGTATGTATTAAAACCAAGTTTTATAAGTAGGTTTTTTTACAATCCAAAAAAATGCAGAGGGAGAGAGAGAGAACTGTTTTCAATTTATTTAAGAATGCTATTGAACTATTGGTTATACGTTAAAGAATGACCAAGTGACCAATAACAAAGTTTAAACAAAAAAGAATAATATCAACTGATGAGAATAAGTAACTTATATATATACATAAGTTACTATATATATATATATATATATATATATATATATATATATATATATATATATATATACCGTTTAATACTAGACAGTACTAAACGGTTCTCCTGAAAACCAATGTAAAATTACCCTGGCTCACAAGGTTATATTATATAACTGTGAGGGGTACCTAGCCTGTCGTAACTTTCGGGTTGCCTGATCTGCCAAGGGTGATGGGACAGTGCATGATGCTATTGTCGTGTACTAGGTTCAAAGAGAATTGTATACTATATGCATGCAAATCCGCCCCGTTATTGTTCTTGCTCCCAAATGCCCTGGTATGGCCGAAAGTGGGGTGGGCCCGCCCTCCCTCTCGAAATGCTCTCACACGGCCACGCGTCTACAACCTCTGCCAGGGAAGTCCTGATCACTACCTTCTCACACCACGGGTGTTGTTTACGAAAATCAGAGAACGGAAAGCGAATGTCCGGCGCTTTAACCGGATCCCAAACCAATAGTGCACATGGGCTTCAGTATCCTGAGGGAACAAATGGCGTATGAACCAATTTTTGGTCACCGGCTACCATGGGACTGCATCTCCTCACGATGCTCTACTGCCTTGTGGGTCAGAACTATAGGTCAAAGGCTCGGAGTGTGGCCCCCTGAGAAAACCACCTGCTTCGGTCTGGGCACCCGGGCAGTATCAAAGCCCACATACAAATATGATGAACTGTCGATAATTATGGAAAATACTTTTCTTGCTTCAATTAACAATCAAACGGTTCACATTATTATTATTATTATTACTATTGTCATTTATTCACTCTCATTTATTCCCACTCTGTCTATCCTTATTTTTCGACTTATACAGCAGCTCGCCTATGGTGGAAATTCGGCTCTATCTAAACGTTCTCGGGTAGAGACGTTATCAGATATGGCTCAGAATAGAAGCCAGTGGTGATCCTGCTGTAATCTTCCTCTACATTCTTCATAAAAAGTGGTTGCTTCTTCCTTAACTGAAAGATCTCTTCTGATTGTTCGTTTTTGTTTCCCCTTCGAATTCTCATTGTTTTGTGTGGCGCATATATATTTGGTGCCCTCTTGGACCAATATTTATGTGTTCAAATAAATAAATAGTACTAAACCTCTGTTTCATACTCATGTACGACTTTTCGGGTTTGTGCACTTATAACCTCGATACCGCTCAAACTCAAGATTATCAGTTCTATCAATGAGAGCCTAACTTCTACATTACTAAATTGATTGATATACAAAGGTTCGCATTTCAATTGATTCAGGATATTATGCAAGGAGGATGTGTATACTAAAAAGAGACTGTCGTATAACATATCCTGACTTCTGATAGTTGTTTATCTATAATTAATTCCCTGACGTGAACTGTGAATTAATCAATCTTCACAAAATTCCCGTACTAACATATTATTATATGTAGATAGGTTTGTAAAAAAGAAACCAAAATCACTCAAAAAGATTTAACAAAACACATTAATCATGAAACAGCCTTGTTTTTTGTTTTGAAAAAAAACTTTTAATATTTAGCTTATACAGCACGCCAGTTGCCTACAAATCATACGCATAGATACGACTGTATTTCTGTATCTCATCTTCATTCTTTTCTCACTGTGGTAATAGAAAGCTACAAGTTATTTACTTGTCTATTATGCCTGTTACTTCTCGTGAAGCATAGGCCATAGACCAGGATTCTCCAACCTACTCATTGTGAGGACACTCCACACACCTATGTTAATTGTTGCTCCGATATGAAGACGCTATAACTTCCAGAGCTGAGTTTAAGTAGTCAAGATGACTTTTTCTGGTTAGCGATTTTTAGCTAAGTTGTTTTCAACAGGATGGAGTTGCTAACACCATCCTCAACCTTCCTCGTTTATCCGTGCTTGGGACTGGCAGTAAACCTAGAAGGGCTCCAGGTGGAGTTTAGTTACGACTTAATCATGCAAATATTTTCAGATAATTTGAAAATAAAAATCAAGAACCTAGAACAATGTGAGTTATTAACTACAATATTTTTAGTTTAATTAGAAAATAAACTTTATGACCACAAAGTTTATGAACTATTCAGAAAGAAGAGCATATATATTTTTTTATGAATGATTATAATATCTTTGGATGCAATACTAGGTGACGTAAGTTCGAAGTTTTGCAGACAGTAATTTTTTGCCTTGAGATTGTAGGTGATGAATACCGGTTGAGATGATACATGAATCCAGTAATTCTTTACCGATTATCTCTAATCACTTAGTATTGAAGAGAAAATGAAAGTGTTCTAACCACGGTTCATTGTTAATATTTCAAAATATGAAGATGGTTGATGCTAGTCTCAATCTAACAGAGAGCATTAACTCCTTCAAAACTGCAACTAGGCCTTGCTGGTCAGTTCCAAATGGCACGAAACTTAAACCCAGGGTTTCTTATCAACTGTTTCTGATAGCCTAAAATCTCAACGTGGTGTCACTTAAACTAGTGAACACATTGTAACTTGATCGATAGAATTCGATCAACACTTAAAAAGGTTTGACAAAAATAAGATCGGCTACTACTTTTCAGTAGTAACGCATCAGACTGTGAAGCTGTGTGATACATAATCAAATCCCCCAAGGGATGTTAGTTTCTCCAAGATTACACGTTAAACTTGATGACGAATGACAACTAGCACGAAACCAGAGTTTAGAGTTCCATGTCGACTGCTTCCAACCACTTAACATAGTTTGAACATTTCAATCGAGTTGAAATTTGTTTAAAATGAAATTTTATCAAGTTAATTCATGTTAATTCCAGTCTATGAAGTTTGTAAACACAACTTGAACATGTTTCCAAACTTAATGCTTGACATTTAAGGTATATTCAAGGCAATAATGATTTTCATTATTCGAATTTAGTCTGCAAATGATTGAGTTATTGTTTATTTTTGTAAAATTAGAAAACTTTTAATAAAATATAATAAATTATCTGTTCTCTTGTTCTGTTCTAAAGAATATTTGAGTTTGTATTACCATTTTTTTATTAATGTCAAAGACTGTAATTTACCAGCCTCTTTTTAACATATTAGCATCCTAGAAGGATTATCTCAATGCAGATTTATGATTGTTTTCTCATTAAGGTTAGACGGTAGCTAGCATTGGAATCCAGAACTCACGTTTCGTTCTACACTAGACTCATCACTTGGATGATCACACTGAAACTAGAAGCTATACCTTCATCTTACAAATAAAATTCATACCCATTTGAAAAGCTAGTGACCATCTGGACTCAATACTCTAATAGATAATCCATCAGGAGTTTGAGGTGGAAAGTTCTGGCTCTGAGTCTCAGTAGTGAGAGGTTGGTACACGCGGGTGACGACTCACAGACAAGATGAAATGTGTGTTCTGAATTCTACAGCTAGCCACTATCTGACTTCACTACAAAATTGTGTATGGTAAACAATTAGAAAAATACATAAAGATATAGATAAAAAAATTCAGTGTGAAATCAAACTACTCCATTATTCTAACAATGTTTAACCCCATTCTCCATACAATTCATTCAAAGTTACTTATTAAATAGTTGGCAATCCACCAGTCTCATAAATACGATTTACAGTAATAATGACTATTCCAATGATACTTTAAATCCTAATACGACAAATTTCGATTACCTCTTTCTTTCTCTCTCTCTCTCTCTCTTAAACTGTACTTTTTCGAAACATACATCTTACAAAAGTGATCTATCTGATAAAGACTTTAAAAGAATTCAGCTTAAATCTAAGTTCACTTATTGATCAGATTCAATAATAATAATAATAATAATAATAATAATAATTATTATTATTATTATTATTATTATTATTATTACTATCGAATCACAAGATCGTTTTTATCATTAAACGGCATAGTTACTATTTTTAAATGTAAAATCTCAATGAATTAATTTTAGTATCATAGGGGGTTTTTGGAGATTTTAGTAATTTAAACAGTTGAGATCATGAGCCAGTTGAAGCTAGATCACCATGGAAAACCTGGAGGCACTGGATAGCCGTTCCGTTCTATTGTGGGACTCCTCAGCAATGCGCATCCACGATCCCGCCTCGCGGGATTCGAACCCGACACCTATTGATCTCGAACGCGAACGCTTACCCTCTAGATCACTGAACCGGCATCCAGTGGTGTTAATGTCTAACCTCAACTAATCCACGAAATTGCGTGACCGTTTTTCATTGTATTGAGGTAGATACCTGTCTCTACCCAATACGGATTATCTCCACTGGTCACGGCTTCTCACTAGAACTCCGAAAATTCCCTCACGAAGCTAGTCAATAGTGAGCACATGGTAATTATCAGTATAGGCTTGTGGAGATTATTAGGACGAAACAGCCGTCCAGTGCTTTCAGGTTTTCAATGGTGGTCCATCATCAGTCAGTTCATGATCTCAACCAAAACCTTAATAATCCCCACAACTCTATACTGATACTTTTTAAAGTATTCAATATATGTGTGTGATAGCTAGCTGTTTATTTTTATTTTTTAGGTTCATTTAGTGAGTGATTGCTGCATTTAAGAGTAAAATTTTCTTTGAAGATCTTATTTCAAACTCTGAATTACACCTTATTTGTATTTTAATATGGTTAGTTGGAATGCGCAACAGTAGTATGTTTTTACGGAACAGATTTATATGATTAAAATGAAGTCCTTAGTGAAAATTACACTTTTATATGTAACAACAACATACCATCGGAGTGGGAAAAAATGCTAGAAAATGCCGGATACTTGTGCTAATCCATATTGAAAAAAGGATCGTTCTACTCAAACTTTCATAATGCGTTAAATTTTTGAGTTTAGTATCGCTAACAGTAAACTATAATTTCATATGTTGTGCAAATGGAAAAATGAAACATTGCCTTCTCGATTAGGATTAGTTCATAGGTATATTTTATCCATTTTCATTGGGTATTTAACAATTTTATCGACCAAAACCTCATTTTTTTTTAAATGGAAACGACATGCAACTTCTGATTGGAAGTTTTGTATTTGTGTCTACTATTAAACAGTGTGTATCGAAAAATTGCATCAGTCTGATGAAGGCTTTTCACTGACCGAACTGTTTAAAATAGATGTATTATGAGGTGTTGGTAAGGATTTTCTACTCCATCAATCTCGTTCAATTTTATTAGGATATATTTTACTGTTTCTTAGTCATACTGTTAAGAACTGTTCTATTGACAGACTTTTCCATCAATACTGATTAAGTACATAACATTGAAAGAAATACCAGTTCCTTGAATGGCTCTAGGTCACGGTGCAAAAACTTTTGGTATGGATTTGTTCAACTGAAGGTAGACATGGCAGACATGCATAGATAACTCGTATTTTTCCTTAGGTTCCTTTAGATATTTGATCGTGTATGGAGTAACCAATAATAAGTAGTACGAAAATTAGAGGTAGAATACTCGCCAAGGGTAGGTAGTTATGAACTACACTTTTATGAACAAAGTTTTGGTTGTTAAAACAAATGAAACGAGTTTCCACTGACAAAAAGTATGCTATAATACAGTGTGTCATAGTGATGGCCGCACAAAGACTGGATTATTGACGTAAGTTATGGGATGATTTAAGATCAAAGATAAGAAAACTCGACAGAAAAATAGGTTTTCTCACGTAATAAAAGGAAATGCTTATACATTAATTCTAAACACAAAATGAACGTGATAAATTATCTTAAACGATTGGATCAAGTTAGTTCGTAGGTCACTCATTCTCTGATCATTTAAAACCTGACTGTTGGGGCTGACGCTTACTCGTTATATTAGTAGTAACTAGGTTGATGTGACTGCAAACCCCACAACGACTAAACTGGTTACGAAATTTGTTTTATTAATGTTGTGAGTTTAATCAGTTATTGTAACGTGCTGACTGTCACTTACACACATCAATCCAATGAATAAATGAGAAAATATTTTTTAGATGGAATAAAACTAACCTCCATACGTTTAATAGGATCTTTCTCTCCAACTGCTTGATCTAGTAATTCGGAATATTCCATGTATTCAGCAACACGTTGTAGAAAGCTTAACGGTTCATTAAGAATGATTGGCATAGTGATTTTAGATAATTCCTTAAAATAGAAAAGAAATATACAATCGATAGGTAAGTAATTAACAAACTAGTAAATTGAAGGGAGCAATAAGAGATTTTTCATACTAAAAATTATATACATCACCGAACGGCATTCACTAACAAATTACTTAACAGAATGGTAGAACACTAGAAAGTTATTTCACCCTATTCTGAGACTACTTAGCTATATGCACACCTACGACACAGGACTTACAGATATCAAGGAGAAGGGTATTTTTAGACCGCTGAGTGGTCAAAGATCAACTTTTCATGTTCAGTCAATAGTTACAGTAGGGTTACTCATAAACCTCTCAATAACGGGAACCATATACACAAGAGTGACTAGATTCCTAGAGCTCAACTGGAAAACCGTAACCAATGGTGCTCGATCATTTCCAAATAGCAATCTAATAATTTTACTGGATGACAATAACGCAACTAATTGAAATTTTGTTGGAAACCCTCGATAATCCCTTGTAAACGTTTTAACGTGCTAAAAAAAGTTGAGAACACTTTTTCCGATCACTGTTCAATAGAAACTTCCAAGAATTCCCTATAGAAACGATCTATTATTTTCCCTTCTTTGATCGGATCATTACTTGTTATTAGTTTTAAAGGCTACTGGAGAATTAGAGTCATAGCGCAAACCTAAAAATACCCTTTTTCTGCGTTTAAACTGATTTCGTAAGTTTCACTTCATAATTTTCGTCTCCTACCTTTTGTTTAAGACTGAAATGCAGTAGAATTCTAAGCGGAAGGGTCTAGGAAACGGTCAGAAAATCAGTGTCAACGGTCCAGGCAACAGATATATCAAATTGTAAATGTGAATTATTGGACGGAAAATCATTAATCTAAAGGTTAAGCATACGCCCCTCTTATTGGGAAGTTTATAAGAGCATGGTTTTAAAGAGTCCCGACCTCATACATAGCAACTGCCATTTACTCCTTGTTTGTTAAAACTAATAAGCGCAAACTAACTTGAGATTATTAATTATCCAACAATTACTCAATTAAAACAAGTTGAATTTCTTCCCATAAGGAGATTTCCCTAGTTATTGTATGTGTAATCACCAATATAAAATGATGATATCATAGTAGTGAACAGTAATTGACACTATTACATAATCTTAATTTATTTCTAATTGTTGTTCTGATCAATACTTGTGAAAATCAATATTTTCATAATTTACGAAGCTAACCGATCACATATAGTTTTTTTCGGAAAACAGAGAGTAATAACTTTTAATTACTTAGAGAAAAAAAATAACTAGCCAATTTGGATTGTTCGCTTTTTTGAGTAGTGAATATGAGATGATTAGTAGAAACAAAATTTCTACGGTTGAGATCATGAGTCAATTGAAGCTAGACCACCATGGAAAATCTGGAAGCACTAGACGGCCGTTTCGTCTTATTGACTCATGATCTCAACCATTGAAGTTACTGTAATATCCTAAAAACCCTACTAATAAGAAACAAAATTGTTTACTAAACAGACGAGATTTTAGTTGTTTGAGAGCATAAAATCAATGGTCAACATTAAATCTTTAGAATGAATGGAATGTGGTTAATGATTTTTATCCTATGTTGAAGTCATCAGCTGAATGTACACCTACATCCTAATATCGATGTTCACACCGAAACTAGAAATCAATAATCTTCACTTCAAACACCCTAATACATTACCCACTGACCTAATGAGTCACAATAGCCAGTAGCTAGGGTTTGAATCTTTCGGTTGTTAATCTTAAAAACGGTAATTGATCAATCACTTTTCGCAATTTGTGTATTATCCTGAGCGGATTGTCTCGATCGAAATTCATCCCTTAATATTAACGACAGGAGGATTCAAACACTTACAATTTTTTTGTCATTTCTTCCCTGTTGACTAAATTATCAAACTTTAAAACAATTGTAACCAGTCCGTAATTACGTTGGTTTATTTGCTATGTCAACTTTTTATTAATATAACCAAAAATTTAATGGAAAACTACTCCTCTAGAGATAAGAATGATCAGTCATTCGTGTAATTATTCATCAAAGGTGGTATATAGAGAACAACCAATCAAACACAAGGTCAATCAGAAAGGCCTCCTGGCTGTTTATAGAAAAAAAAACTTTGTCTTTTACTATAGCAACTAACATTTGTACCGTAAAACCATACAGATTAGGAAATAGAATATCATCTCGTAATTTTGGGATAGTTAAAACAAACAAGTTTTTCTGTTAGGCTAATTTGACTAATTTGTTTTATTGGCTCATATTTAGTGAACGAAGCATGATACAATGTATTCATCCCATCAATAACTACACAAACCTAACAGGTTAGTAACTAAATAAAGATAGCCCACCAAAGTCAAGCAGTCAAAATCAATGAAGAACCTGGCACATATATGCGTTGGGCGAAGATGTCATACAAAATTGGGACGACAAAAGGAATATAAAAAGATGAACAGCAAATAATGTAACAGTAATCCCGATAAGGAAGACCAAACAAGGTTCAAAAAGGTGGAAAAAAAGATATGTATGAAGGAATATTACATCTTATGCTCTAGGATGATGCTGAAGAGTGAATGAATTTACACGATTGTAAATGATTCTGAATCATTCAACAGCTCGAATCAGTAACTACAGATACTGAGAAAACCCTAACCAGGTAAAACTTTGGTTTGATCAAAGTCAAATTGACACTCAAAATAATCAATGTTTAGTTACAAATATTTTTTTAATATAAAGTCAATAAATGAAGAGACATTTCGAATTAACAAGAAACAGTCACATCGAATTTCAACGAAACTCATTCATTAATACAATAACGAAATGAAATTTAATCTTCTTGTTGAACAGAATTAAAACTAGAATTAACAATGATAATAATTGTTACCTTTCCAATGGATTGTTTCACAAATGACCATACACTAAAATCCGTTTTAACCATTTTACATGGAAGAGATTTTCTATAGAAGGAAAAATGTAACAATCATCATAATCATCATAATAATCATGAGAAACATCAGAAAAAGAAGGAAGGAAAACAAACATGAATTTGCCACAAAAACAAACAAACAAACATGAACTTTGTTTATTCTATCAGATTCAGCTGTGAGTTAATCAATTTTATTATTATTATTATTATTATTATTATTATTATTATTATTATTATTATTATTATTATTATTAAGGTACATGAATGTAACTGTAAATAAAAGAAATAACCTAATTATTCAAGATAAGATCAAAAGAGTTGAATAATCTTTCTTTTTTAATCAATTTACTAAATTCTTCATTGATGTATAATAAAAAACAAACAATTACTAATCAACATATACTCACTGGTAACTGGCTTCAAGAGGTATATCCTGAAGTTCTAGTGAGAAGCGGTGACCAGTGGAGTTCAACTAAGTCTGTTGTGAGATAGCAATTCAATAAAGACAATGGTGGGTGTGTCACTCAAGTTCGTGGATTAGTTGAAGTTAGACATTAACATTGTTGGATGCCGACTTAGTGGTGTAGAGGTTAAGCGCTCTCATGCGAGACTGATAGATCCTGGGTCCGAATCTCGCGAGTCGGGATCGTGGATGAGCACTGCTGAGGAGACCCACGACAGGACGGAACGGCCTTCCAGTGCTTTCAGGTTTTCTATCGTGATCTAGCTTCAATTGACTCATGATCTTAACTACTGAAATAACTACAATCTCCACAAAACCTCTTCTGATAGTAATTACTAATATTACTAGTGGTATAGGGATATGTGGAGATTGTTAAAATTTCCTTATTTGTATCATTGATCAATTTAGATTACCAGTGAAAACCAGGAAGTACTAATTGGTTGTTTTCTCTTAGTATGAAACTCTGTCTCAGCAGTGACCATTAATGAGAGATGACCCCGAAATATAATGAATGGATTCGAGTTGGACATGTGTACCAGTAGGTTTCAGCTCAGTTGTATAAAGAATAATAGTTCACAAGCGAGACCAAACGTCCCGAGTTCAAATGGAATCATAGATGTGCACTGATAAAGAGTCTTAATATTAGGGAAGAAAAGTTGTTTAATACTTGTTGGTTTTCAATGTTTATCTAATTATGAACGGTCCGTGATGTAAACTTTTATTAAGAAAATGAGAGCTAAAATTTAGAAAAAAAATAAAATGAATCAGTATTTATTATTCATAGATTGATCGTTTGATATTACGCTTATCATCTTCAATTTCAATTGCAGCGCGTCTTATCTCATTGAAAATGAGTATATAGTTTGTTACAGTTTAAAGTGTGCTTGTATACTCTAAGATTGATTGATATACATGAATTTAAGTGATTTATCAATGATTCCTATAAATTAATCAAACATACAGATCAGCTATTCATATACAAAATAGAATCAAAAACTTAACAATCTTCATAACCCACACACTGATAACAAGATAGAACCAGGCACATTTGTGCATTAGTTTGATTTAAATTCCAGAGTAGGAGAAAAAAGCGTTCATAAACAATGTGATTGATTAAAGAAGAATAAATGAGATTGCGGAATAAAAATTTTAAAATAATTTTGAAACTGAAGGTATATAGGGGGAGGCAAGAATGAATGTATCTACGCCATTGTAAGTCATTTTACACATCCCAAATCATTGATGACGATAATCTCGAAGACTTCAACCAAGCAGTTTGCATCTACCAACACGGTTCAACTCAATATTCAATAACTTCTAAGTTACAGATATTAACACTAATCTTGACCTGTAAGTGTGATTTGGATAATGGGAGGTGAAATTTAAATGTGACAATTCGATCCCATTAATATTATTACTTTAAAACATATGCTAGATCATTTCTCTAGTAAATTCATACCTGAGGGTCTTATCTTGTTCTGATTAAAACTTCAACGATGAACTGAGTTGAAGGTTCTAGCACCAGATCTACATACAGACACATTTATATTCATACGCGTATTACATAACATTGTCAACAGAAAGTTAATTAAATGTTCTCCGAAAGTACTTTCATCATTCATCATAATTTCTTCAGTTTTAATCATTAAGAATTTGAATAAAGTTTAGTCAATTTTAAGTCTACTCAAAAACACAACAGAACTCAAGGAAATGTATTTCAGTTTTCTTAAAATTAATAGTCTTGAAATGGTGTTGCACAGACGTAGAACAGAAGGAAAATAAGGGATAAAATCGCTCAGGACCTTTCAAACAAATGCAAACGGCCGGCTCTGTGGTCTAGAGGTTAGGCGTTTGCGCGCGAGACCGAAGGTCCTGGGTCGAAGTCCCGCTTGCGGGATCGTGGACGCGCACTGCTGAGGGATCTCATAATAGGACGAAACGACCGTCCAGTGTTTCCTAGTTCTCAAAGGTGGTCTAACATTGATCCATTCATGATATCAAACTAAACTCAACAACCACCGCAACTCTATACTGATAAATGCAAAGTGATAATAAATACTTTAGAACTCAAACAAATATTAGCTGGAAATAATTACTTCTTGATGTGATTTTGTTAACAAACAAAGGAAAAATTGTTTTTTATCAATATAATTGCTTAATAACGATTATATCGATAATTAAAATAAACTGGAACAAATACAATGATTTTATATTTTAGAAAGTTACACATGAATGTGTAAGACTGGATGACAGACAGAAGAGAAAATGGACAGATATTTATCTTTAATACGACAAAAACGGATTTCTGGTAGAACAGCGAGGGCGGGTTTGGAGATTGTTTAACTTAGTGGTTTACATTACAGATCTAATTCAGATAAACAACCATTGGGAATCAGGAAACACTGGAAAGATATTTCATCGTAATATGAGACCCTTCAGTATTACTTATTCAAGAATAAATTGGAGGTCGGACTAAGGACCGTCAGGTCCCACGATGAGCGTGTGACAAGTAAACCATCGAATTTTTATCTAAATGGTTCAAAAACCTAACTTCAATCCATTCGTGAGTATTACACGATCATCTCCCAATACTGATTGTGTGAAAATACCTCACATTTGGCAAGGTTGAACTCCACTGGTTACGGTTTAACACTAGAACTCAGGGAATCACCTCTTGAAATTAGTCACTAGTTAACACATGTTTTTTATTAGTGCAGGGGAGGGGGTTTGTGAAGAGTTGGTAAAACCACGAGTGAATCACTTATTTTTATATCGATCAACCACAAATTGATTACCAACTTTACATTTACTTACAACTGTCACCCCACGTGGAAGAGCATAGGTCACTCATATTGATTAAAATTATATTTCAGACAAACTAGAACTTAGTCGATTTACAATTGATTGAATAATAATCTTAATATCGTGAAAATAAAAATTTCATAACTGGTTAATCAACAACACAGTAGGAAGCCCGTCTTTTCAATGATAATAATATTGTGAAAATGAAAAACATGTCCACGACTAAACAAAAGTTGCTGACTTATTTACATTTATCCATGCTCATTATCCAATCCCCAGTAGTAATTTTAACACAATTAAGACAAGTCAGACCGCATAATCAGGGAGGGAGAGATAGCGCTGGTGTACACTGAACTATTTAACTGCAATGATGCTGATTACAATAATCTTTGGAGATGAATCATTGATACACAGGTGGTAGAGTTCTACATATTGGTTAAATATATATTAAACTGATGATCAGAAAAGTCTAAATTTTATTTCGTCCAAATCATATAGGAATATGAAAAGAATTGATAATTGAAAAAGAGACTTCATTGGACCAGTATGCCGATTTTCTTCAACTTTATATCGCAATAATATAAACTGGATACAAATATTTAACCCGGAAGGCTAGAGAGGAATTGAAAATAATCTAGGAACTGTTGAGTAGGAGTGAAGATCTGTATAAGTCTGGAACCCCCAGTGTACGTGTGAAATTAACTATTCTTTTTTCAATTTTTAAAAAAGTACTATACATAGCATTTTCACATCCAGTTAGTGGGTGTGTTGCATATAAGAGTATAACCGTCACTGGGTTTTTTATTTCAATCATCTAACGCTGTCTAGTCAAAGCACGCTACTGTATCTCACCTAATCTGAAATCTAAAGAGGCCATCCTCTCTGTAACACTTTGTTATTCGCTTATCGTCTTAAACTGATTTTTATTGGTTTCCATGACCATTTTTTGACTTTAGTTCATGGTTAACATTCGTCATTTTATAGTGTTTTATTTACACGTACAACTAACTTTTTCAAGACTAATAATCTTTTTAGTTACTGTCAGCACCACACTTCACTGCTTTCCGAATTCCCAGATAAAAAAATGTTTGTTCTTACAGCTTTTCTGTTTTGCACCTTTCCTTCGTTAGAGTAATTGGTTCAGTTTTGGAATCTTATACGCTGGGATTTATAAATAGGTGGTGTATGTTTATGATTGTAAAGGTAGGAGTCACTGACCAATCCTTCCTCTCGTTTCGTTATCCCAATTGGCTTTTTTATTTGTAAACGTTTCAGTTTTACATTCTTGACCTTAAGGAGTGGATTTGATCAATTTGTCGTTGGGCATTTGAAACGAAATGTAATGAGTTCAAGTTTCATTGTGAACATCAACATTGGGATCCAAGTGGATCCAACCAATTAATCTCAAATAGACCGAAATGCACATCTAGGGTTTGACGGCTACCGAATTTACAAAGAGTTTTACCTTTCGTTCATATTAAAATAATCCGAAAAAATATTTGAAAAAAACACTTTCCGAAAAATTTAAATGTCTTCATCGTTAGTTATCCACCTTTTTTTAATAAGTTTAACAACGGAAATTTAGGAATGGATTAATATACACGTTGTATAGTAAAGAGGAAGAATGTATTTGTAAAATTTCAGCAAAAGAATTTGAAGTAAATCCAACGTTTTGCCTGGCAATCTGGTTCAAACTTATCTGTGTAGTATAAAATTCAGTGTTCATTCTCTCATTAATATTTTTTTATATATTACACATTATTTTATTAAAAGCTAATCACACCATAAACTGTTCTCTTTCAGTAAACAAGCAAACAAAGCATCAGACATATGACATGATTATTGAAACAAGTTCAATCTCACTGAATTTCATATTCATTTAAATTTAATTAGTATTTTTCGTTTTTGTACTCGATAAATCACTCCATAGTCATATTGTCTGGGGACACTTTTGTCTTACGATATTTTAATCTAGTAATAATTTTGAGAATTAAATTCATTCAGCAGAATCTAGTATACCTCCATGCTCACAACGGGGACTGAACCCAGAACCTTCAGGTTTTGTGGTGAGTCCTTAACTTTTAAACTACTGAGTCGGCATCCACTGGTTTACATTTCCCACTTCAACTCATTCAGGATATTTCACAATCCTCTTACGCTATCATTGGTGGGGCACTGTCTTACACCCAATATGTTTGAACTTGATTGGTATAATGGTTTCTGTTTTTCAATAGTAAAATAACTAAAAACAATTAGTGATGTTTTAAGTATAATATTCCACAATTTCCACAAACCTTCACTAACAATAAAGCTGACTAAGTTGATCGAATTAGTTACACTTATTACTTGACTTAACTGACAGGTACTTATTAATTTTTTTAGTTTTCCTATTATAATAAGCTCATTGTTTCGCAAAAACAGTATCTATTTTTCTCTTTTAAAAGGATGTAGTCTTTACCTCATGATTTAAATTAGGGGTATTTCCAACATTATTTTTAAGTGAGATAAACTTATTTTCTAAACCTATCATCAAATATGTGACTTTGATTTCAGTCTCAAAGAAATTTTTGTTTTGAGATTTAAGTGTTCAAATGCCAACGTATCGATCGTGAAGAAAGTGTAATCGAATAATGACACTATTGAGCATATAGCACATGGATTAAAAATGTAGTCATTTTTAGACTTAGTATTGGGACGTTTCGTCAATACAGTAGAGTATCTTATGTCTTTTCTGATTATCATATACTGAACGTTACTACTATTGTTTGTTTGGTCTACATTAATAAGAGTGTGAGCAAAAGAGGAAATGGAAAAAGGTTCTGTTAAAAAGGGCGAACATTAATAACGGCGACTGTGAAAATGACGTATAATAATAAAGATGAGCATTGAAAGGGGGAATAACATTTTTAATTATGTGAATTACGTTCAATCGCCCTTTGTTGTGGAATTTCATCCTAAAACGAAGAATGAGGTTCTAGGATGGCATTGATGCTTTAACCAACTTATTGGTGTCACCTATCTAAGTATACGGAAATTTATTGAACCCCTAAAAAATTAACAACGTCTAAATTGATTGAAAACTAAACAGTCTATTGCAGAAATCAAGCAACAGTACTTAAAAAGAAAGCACAAGAAGGTAGCTGTATGCATTAAACTGCTCGTAGAAAATAACGAAAAGAGGTCGGCACTAGACTATCTACGTGGAATAGCACATTACATTTTAATTTTAAAAGAAATGAATGTCTTTAGCACTGAAAACTTATTCAAAGTGAAAATCATCGGACATTGCTCAAGCATTTTCGAAACATCCCTCAGAATAGACTGTACCCTAACTGTTCGAATGGGAAGTACGAGATAACATAAATAAGGTAGTAAAAACAATAATTTGTTACCGAATTCGAAGAATTACAGTATTTTTTGAAATTAGGTTATTCATTAAACGTTTAGAAAACCACTTTTTTATTTGTCAAGGGGCACAAAAACAGTCAGTCAGTCATCTACAACGTAGGACCAGGCACATATGTGCATCGATCCAGGTTGCCATACCGCATCAGCACAACAAGATGAACACCGGATTCATAGCAGTGGTTAGGTCAAAGGTAGTAATATGTAGGAGAAAGATTGCATATAGTACAAGAAGAAAGAATTGGTTCGTAGAAAGAAAGATATGAAGTGGTTTTAATCTCTTAGTTAAAGGGAAGACAGGGAGTGTATACACCGACGCCATTGTGATCGATTCTGAACCATGTCACCAAGAGTCTCCAACCATTGGTTACGATAGTCACGCGGACCCCAACCAAGTAGTCTGCATCTACCAACATGGCTCAGACTAGAAGTTAGTGACTTCAAGCACTGGTGCCACGTTTTGGTTTGGCCGCCCCTAACTTTCTTCCAACCATTTCCAATACCGGATAGCATTGCACGTCGTGGTAATCGGTGTTCAGGCATACGTAACAGTAAGCGAATCGAACATATTTCACACAATTAAAACGTTTATTCCACCTAACAGTTCTTACCTTTAATAATAAGCATTTTTTATGGTCACCCTCATTTTAATCCATTAGTATCTCCATTAGTACAAAAGTTGAGTTATATATATTGACTAGCTTATCCAATCATGTTAGAGACGATGTTGAAAACCAGGTCGGTTTTATCAAATCATTTCTCTCCAAATGGGTGGTTGAAAGAAGTCACCAAGGAACTCTGGTCCTATGTAACATAGTGGTTCCCATTTGCCAGTAACGCACACCTAATTTTTTACGGGAATGATTCTTTTTGTGGTATCTGAACCCGCGTTAGCTAGTTTCACGAACTGAAACCAGCTGAGGCTCAAATAATTAAGTATTACAGTCTAAGACTATGAACCTGTGACGCGAGTTTGAATGTCACGAGGAGCCACATCCCCTTAATATTGTAGGTATGCCTTTATAAAAAGTGCCATGTAGTAAGAAACGTTAGTCTGACTGTCTTAGAAACTACATCAAACTTCCTAACACGCAAACATAATTTCAGTGAACGCTATTTATGGCGGGAATTCTGCTTCAAAACCTGAAATAGCGATCTAGGCATAATTGGCAAAGTCGCGAATTTGGAATAAGTATTTAATGAGCAAATGAATAGAGAGAAATATATATTTAGACAAGTTTTTTATTATCACTACATTTACTTGTATACGACTTACAATAATAATAAGATAATGCTGAGTAATAGTTTTACGTAATAATGCTGTAGTTTTACATATCATAACAAAAATGATGACAAATTATTAACCAAGTGAATAATATAACGCACTAATTATAACAAGCAAAGCAATTCTGTGTAAAGAGTGAAAACATGTAATTCGTTGGCTCGTAGATGATATGGTATTTAATGAAAAAATAGTCAAGATTAACAGTCAATTTCGTAATTATCAAGTAGGAGTAAACGGACAGATGTCAAATTTGTGCAAGAACACGAAAGTGAGAAAGATTCTTAAAGTTTTAGAAAGTGGGGTGAATCAAAGTTTCATCATGACCCACATTTTTATCCTTTATATTGATAGCAAAAGTACGGAAAAATTATGTACAGATTTTTTTCGAATATCACATTCATGTGATGGTTAATTTTGAAAGCTTTAGCAGTGCGCAAAGTGCGAACTCATAAACCTTGCAGGAAGTTTGGTGGAATACGATAAAAAACTTTATCCAGGTTGACTTGGTGTTCTTTGTCACATAAGTGATGGCGTTAGAGGATATAATAAGGGACTTGCTCAATTGTGCACTACATAACCGGCTCCATATGAGCAGTTAAATTGATTAACACAAATGGATGTGGTAAATTCAACTGGTCTGTTTTTGTTGGTGATTTTTATTATAGAGCAATTGCAAGAAACGGTACTCCATTTAGATGCAGTGAGTGTGATGTTAAGAGCTTTTCTTAAGTTACGTGTTGGTGTTTCACAGATAGTCATTTTTGGACTGTAACTTCACAAAACGCAGGTGCATAACAACTACTATCAAATGCCTTATTTTCCTCTTGTTGACGTGTTTGTTAATGAATTTGGAAAGACAGTCTTATAAAGTAAGTTACTGGTGCTACTTAGTTCACATTGGATTGTGTCAGAGGAAACTGCTTTAAAACACTAATTAGGGATTCTTACTAAACTCTATGTAAGTGATGAAGCTACTAACTCTGATAACCATAATGTTAACACATTGGGTAATAATTGACAAACTATGGTTAAAGACTTAATACGGTGTATGATTTAAATTTAAAAACAATTGTATTTTGTTCGCCATATTAGCTGAACAAACCAGAGGTACTTTAATACGTAATTTGTATATTTACCTGCTAACCCATACGAACTTTTCACCAGAAGCTAAGCAGTTAGGATATTGAGGGTTGAAAAGCGAATCTTACCGATTATATCACTGGCTTGAATGTGACAGCTCATACTAGTGGGAGAAAGTTCTTTTCGAAAAATTTTAATGGTCAGTTTGCAATATTCTTCGGATTACGAGCGAATTAAGAACACCATTGTGCAACTGACAGCATAAGTGAACAGACGTAACCAATCAACTATCAGTAACGTCCACAATTAAATATACACGGTAATCTGGATTATTGTTTCAAACCTCAAACCTTGGGAGATAGTACACTTAAACCATTTAATTTTTGAGACCTGCTTTTAATTATTTGGATAATCCTACCAATTACTGAGCAATATGATTCATAACTTTTGACAAGGTCTTAAAAATGGAAATCATAAACGGTTAAACTTAACTGGTGATTGGAGAAAAATGACACGGATAAACGCTGTCTTAACAACGTGCGAATTTCCCAAAGGTACAATCGTCGGCCCCTTTTCTTATTTACATTGTGTAAATGACTAACCTACTGCAGCAAAGTCATTTATTCTGTTCGTTACAGCTGACATTAAAACTTGGAGGTCCATACACAGTATGTCAGATTGAAAATGTTACAGGATGGATGAAACTCAATGAGTGAATGGATTTACAGGCAATCATTTGAACTCAGTTCCATCGATAGTGAAGCGATGAAAAAAATAACTACGATGACTCATGTCATAAGTGAAATTGTATTGTCTTAGGTAATGGACTATGTAGGTCTAGGAGTCATAACAACCAGAAACCTCAGAACTTCGAGTAACTGCTCCAGGATCTCATGGGCTATTTATCAATGTTTCCGTTACTTGGAAGAAGAAACTTCTGGAGTATTATACCCGACTTCCATGAGACCGCATTTCGAGTGTTAGATCCAAGCAGTGATTAAGAGGTGGATATAATGGAACGACTGAAATTCTGAACCATCTCGCTGGCCCATCTTGATAATACAGACTGAGACGACTCAACCTATTTCCGTTATTTCGGGTTACGGGGTGATGTGAAACTGACTTACCGTATACTGAACTACAATCTTTGTGGCAATGTTTTATCTCTTCATTCCGTTTAGGAATAATAATGTGAGAAGACGTTCAAAGCAAGTTCAAAAACGTTATCAAACTGCTTACGTGTGGAAATCCGTTTCTCGAGATGGATAATGAAGTTTTGGAATTCCCTAACCCGTAATATAAGCAGTATCAGTTGATACATCCAAAGTGATTTTGGATCTTCACGATACTACATATTGTGAGGATCAACATAGGTCTGTTGACTTCGTATCCTTACTAATAAAGACTGCCTATACCAAAATCGAAGTCAAGTCGGACTGTTTTACGTCAGAACTGATAAATGCGTAATATCTTGTGTAATCACCTTGGCACCACGGAATTTTAGCCAATGTTGGGCCTGCATTCGATGGGTTGACAAAAGAGTGCCATTACTATCTCTAATAATAAGGATATCAGTAACTCACTGATTCACTCGCGAAAATTTTTGCAAGAACTTCTTGCTATGCATTTAATCTCTGGTCCTTTACGGAAGACTTCTTAAGACTAGTTTTTAAATCAGACATGTTAGCGACCTGTTAAGGCTGCGGGGATCGTTGCTGATTGATGTTTCACTTTCGTTATTTCTATTATGCTCAGGTTTTAAATTTGAGACAACCAGTTTTGGAGTGAGGTTCACTTATTAGTTTGAGTACCTCTACGGCAGGTTTCCTTTAAATACAGTCTAAAAGTGTGTTTGATCTACTTAATCTATCAGACCTTACATAAAAGTCGCATCATTATCTATTTTGGCCGGTACTGTCGTGTCTGTGAGCGCTTGCCGCCAAGGAGTTCTGAGTCACACATTTGGGAAGGTATGGAATATTATGTTCAGTATGAAAAGCAAGATGTTACATAGAATGACGATGCGTATGGCGAGTCATGTCATACTGATTAAGTGTTCTGCTTTCATCATTTTTGACCTCCGCTTAGTGTCAACTGTGAGATGCGAATCTTCTTAGTTATCGTATGATCCGCATGAAGAATCGTATGGTTGCGAACCAGTACTACTGAAGACGTTCATTTCTCTGATATTATTTCGGTAGGAATGCTTTGGTAGCGCTGAAGTGTGTCGAAAATGCGTATTTGGCTTGGATAGTCAACAATTAGATCCTAAATAAATGAAAAACACGGTTCTTTCTGACTAGCTTGTCAATAGTTTTGACAAGTACCTTTCAAAGTTGTTGTTCAATGTCCAGTCTTCACAACCATGCTAATCACTGCGATTTGTGGTACTGTGAAGATGTATCAACGAGTGTTACAAAAATTAGGCCCATCTGATGCTCAATTTGTTTGGAATCGTCAAGTCAAGCCTAATTCGTGATACCATCAAACTCACAGCTTTAAAGATGTTTTCACTGACAAAATGTCTTTCGACGAAGAATTGAGAGGAAAAGAATTGAAAAAGATTATTCACTCTATGCACCAACCAGGTGGGCGTACTAAAGATTCCAAGAACAAGTTGCCATATGTTTTTCCGTTTCCACGAATAGCGACTCTCAGAATATCCTTCAGTTTCTAAACTTCACCGATGTGGCTTCTGATTCTTTGAATATCTCACTTCTGCAAATCATCAGGGGTTCTATTCACTTGTGTTTTCTTTGCGCTCATACAAAAACAGCTAAGATTGATAAGCTGATAATTAACAAAGTAAAAATGTGACTCAAGTAGAATGAACAGATTGGGCTGTCCAAAAGCTAGAATAAGGTATATGGGCTTAACAAAATAAGTGAAACTACGTTAGTCAGTTTGTGTCTAGATAACAGATAGCCCAACGATACCTGCTGTTCACGTTTATACTCTGGTGACTAATGTTCGTTATAATAGTTTTTAGAGGCGTTTGTCGTCAACTGCCGAATTCTAAATATCTCAGATAATTTCTTCAGGTCATTTTAAAGCTTTTAAAAATCACAATCTTTTTATTTCTCATATCGTCAGAATATAACGAAATGAACGATAACGGGGAATGTGGATGGTTATTTGCACACAGAAAGAACGACATTAGCCCTCCCAAACCGTACCCCGAGGTATTCCGTTAAACACAGTTTTCCAGGTAGATAACTTTGAATTCAATCTTACTATTTGTTGGCCATCAGCTAGGAAGTCGTTTATCAACATAAATAAGTTGTCATCAGTCCCGATATCATATGACTTAGATAATAATCAGTTGTCACAAGCCTTAATGAAGTCGTTGTAGGCTACATATATAAGTAACTTCTGATGTATATAGGCTCATGAACCTTTATGGGCCACTAATAAGTTTGTGAGACATGAGAAACGTGTTTTAAGCTGTGCTGATTTTAAGAGAGGATTCAGTTTTTATACAGATACCTAAAAAACTTCGAATAATCTTTTCAAAAAATTCTAACAACTGAGCAGGTTAAGCTCAGATAGTTCTCAGATTCATGTTTCATACGTGGTTTGAAGATGAGACTTACTTTGGTGTTCTTTCTGTCATTTGGTGATATACCTTAAGAGATGTCAAAACATAGGCTTGAAGGGTTTGCGATGGAATTGTTTAGTTCCTTCAGTGATCTAGGATTCGTTTGGTGAATTTACCTGTATCAAGCTTATTTAGCGTTCAAAGACACTGAGTTCTTTAACGGTTACAGTGTTCAGTGTATGGGAGGAAGTTTGTATGAACCGAAAGGGAGGGCATGTACATTGTTAAAGTAATTCGAAAATACCGCAATCGTCTCCTCACTGATGGTGTAGTGTTTGTGTCTCCCCAAAATGCCAGGATGGTGCCTCTTCTCTTAGTCGTTTTGTTTGTGTATGAATATAATTAACGAGCTTTTCTTTATACAATCTTCTAGACTTGTGGAGCCTGCCGAAATTAAGATTTTGTTTCACCAGTACCCAGTAAAATAAATCTCCCTCCACAATCTGTTTTGATTACAGAGGAGAGCATAAACCTCATTGCCGAGCCACACTGGTGATTTTCTGTTACCTCTCGGTGTAGTCCAAAGAGTACAAACCTATGAATACCTCCCAGGCAGTTTCAACCGGAAATTCTGGTTCTATTGTATAACCTACCGAGAATCCCGAGTTCATAATTTCCTGAATATGTTCTTTATAAGCACTCAATCTGGCTTGAGGGGACATATCGATTTCAACAACAATATGGAAACCAAAGACTAGAATTGAGTGGTCACTCTTACCTAAAAGCGGTATATTGTCGATTTTTATGACTCCATCCTCAGGTTGGGTTAGTACGAGATCTAGTAGCGATGATCTGGAGTCCGGGTCTTATTTTTAACACACTGCACTAGGATAAATGGAATAGCCGCGTCGACTAGCTGTTGTTTGATATAATTTTCAGTCCTCAGACTTTTCTAGCCTGTCGAAGATATATTGGAATTTTTCATGACTAAACATCGACCACTTCAAGGCCAAGCGTTGAAACTATCTAGCAAGACCATATTTATCACATAGTTTGGACTGCAGCAGATCAAACCAATAAGCAACTCTTGTTCTATGTATTTCAAGCTTCAACGGATGGATCTACTTCTCCTCATTTACGGGCTTTGGTTCCACCATCTCCTACAAACTTGAAAACTATAAAATGAAATTCTCTACTATGCACAGTCTGCGTTAGTTAAGTTTTTGTCGTGGCGAATGAACATAGTTTGGACGAGTTTATCTGTACACCTAGCCCCGAATACTAGTTGGAGAAGCTACGGAAATTTTTTAAACAGATCTGAAGATCATTCATCTAGTGTTGTACTGCATCAAAATAGGCTTTTGTATAATTTCCTGTAGAAGTAATGCACTCAAACTATCGTCTTCTTTGATAATGGGTCACATGAATAACAATTTGAATGTATCCTCTCACACTCACACAGAAAAGTAACAAATATGGTTGAAATAGACCTTCATTTTTCTGATTTTTCCTTGTTTTTTCATTGAACATTGGAACTCATACTTGTTTAAGCAACCGCGGTTCGCGTGCACATTTGGTTGTTTGTAACGCGATCACCATGCCGGTTAGTTGTGCTCCTTGGTTTTCTGTTTTGTTATCGCTTTTCCGATATTCTTGATGTTGTGCTGTTTTTACTTAACACGAATTTTGTTTAACAGCTCGCTCGTGACTTGTTACATCCGTCTTTTCGAGAAGAGAAGCGAAAGTGCAAATTAAAACGTTTGGTCCCCTCACCAAATTCCTTTTTCATGGATGTTAAGTGTTCAGGTAAGCTCATACAGTTCCATTCTTAACCTGTAGGCTGCTTGAAAATCCAGATCGTTTTCAGTCACGCACAGACACCTGTAGTTTGTCCCGGATGTGACCGAATTCTAT